CATACATATTCACTCTCAACCTGCACGCCAAATTCCCAATGAACCCAGAAAAAAAGTAATCTAAATACTTAAGCATACCTGAAGAATCAGAAAAGCAGAAGAATCTAAAGAAGAAGAAGAGTTGTGGTAATTAGGATAGGCCAAAGATCTCGACCACCAAGTGACGTGAGCTGTCGAACTCACTCAAATTAATCAGGTTTGTAAAAATAAAGATTTGTAATAAAGAGGGCAACCTGAATCGTCTCTCAAGGAATTTGCAAGGATCTTAATCGATCAATTAAAAACAAGAAGTAAAAAGGGGGATTTGTGTGATTAAAAATAGAAAGTAAAAACAAGGATTTAAAAACTGAAATTATCAATTAAAAGCAATCAACCCAAGAATTAGGATTCCAAGATATCCATCTTGGACAAAGGATTACCAAATCGTGGTTGACCCTAAGCAATTTGAAATCCCTACAATTGCTTAGGAACCCTCTCTAGACGATCCTCTAGCATTTGATCAATACGGTGCATCTACTTGCGCGATCGCAAAGTATCAACCCATTTGACTTAAAATCATTGGGTTGATCAACCTAAACATTAAATCTAACATTCAATCACTTACCTTAGCTGCAATTGCAGAACTCGAATCCGAGTTGAAGGAAGAGAAATGATTTGGATCAAGATGAAGCGCAGGTCCTCCGGATTCAACCGAAGAATCCTTAATTCTTGGATTGATTAAAGAAAGTTTAGCCTAGCATGGCTAAATAGAAAACCATAATTGAAATTAAGAAAATACAGAAGAACAAAAGAGTAGAAGAGAGAAAACGTAAATTGTAATTGAATTTTGAAACTGTAAAAACATAAACTCTAGAAACGAAAACTAAAACTGAATTCAAGGTCTCCTAATCATGCCTTTATATAGGCTCTACAATTCTGACCAAGTATAAATGAAAATAAAAGATAAATTATAGATTTAGGCCTCATAAAGATTGGGTTCTCAATTACAAACTTAAATTCAATTAACTAATTAAAACTGGAGCAACTCGTGATGAACTTGGGCTTGATTTTCTACCATCTTGTTATCTGAACTGGGCTTTCATGTCTTCATAACACTTGTAGTTCTCTAAGTTAGCTGCAAAACCTAACAAGAATGGGATCAATTGGACACCTGTGGAATGAGTTATGATCAAAATACTGCAGTAACGTAAATCTAGATTTTTATTACGAAATTCAAAATAAACCCAATTAAAAACCTAATATCTAATTTAACCCAAAAACCATTAATTTACACTAAACGATCCAAAAACCTCTAATCAAGAGTAACAAATAAGTGTAATAAATATGAATTATCACCAAGTCGGTGCCACTCTGTATAGGTCTAAATCTTCAGCAATTGCATCCCAGATTCTGTAGCATATCAACCGACCATCCTCTAGATGATATCTCCCTGCCCGGTTGTCAATTGACTCGTCGTATTTATGACGACGGAAGGACTTAGGGATAGGAGGTATGTATCCAACCAGTTTACTAGGAGTAATTTGAAGGATAGACGGACAACACACCACTGACAGAGGACGATTTCTAGGATCTCATTTATATTACTAAGAGGACGAATAAGACGCCCGCTACCAAAAGCCGGGCATCTAACTAAACAGTGGCCAAATCTACTCACAGAACGTCTAGCACCAGCCACAGACCTTCCAACAGACCGCCCACCACGAGCAAACCTACCAATAGTTCGACCTCTAGCGCGCCGAGAATGGCCACTAGAGCAACTGGATCCACCAATTTCACCAACATAAGGAACCAGGGGATCCAAACTCCTTGAAGGAAGAATATAGCAAATCTCTTCTTCAAAGAAACCCAACAACTCTGGAATTCTACCATAAGGCAGAGACTCCACCCCGGGCACCAAAGCACCATTAGTACTCACACCAGACTCATCATCCCCGCGATGAGTAAGTAACTCGCGCATCACATCCAAAACACTTACATCATCAAGAGCATCGAGATCAAGATCAAACTCTTCCTGTTTGAATTTTAGCGCCAACTCCTTCATTTCTTCCACTGATAACTCTTCTATTTTCACCATTTTAAGCAACAACCCAAGAGACTCATATAAGACAAATCTCTACCCAAAACCCAACCACAAACAACAGCAACAACAGAAACCAAAGATTTTAAAAAAAGGAACACCAAAGACAGGGACTAACAAGAAAGACTCAAAGAACACCTCTCTCAGAAAACAAAGCCAACCCAAATTTAGTTCACGGAAGAAGAGAAAGTAGAAAACTAGAAGATGATGGATGACCTAAAAGTACAGGAAGAGAAAATAAATTTTAGAAGAAGAAGGGGAGCAAAGGTTCAAGATGTTGCTAGTAACTCAAAGAGCAGCACTAAAACACCCCAAGATGTTAGATCAAAGCAACCGTTTGAATTCAACAAATTGGACGAAGGTTAATATCGTAATCTCACTAATGACAAGACAACTCATATTGTACCTCTTCATATTAAATGCACACATCCTATCATATTTAATGTCTACACGACAAAGAAAATAACCATCACAGCCATTATGATGTGCACCCGAAAAACAAGGAATGTCCCTCATTCAAGAGTCTACACGTGGTCACAATCAGCCTCAAACAACGAAACCCACCGCCAAGCACAATATAGCAAGACTACAACCTACCTTTTAAGACAGATCATAAGCAATATTGGTCGGCCAATGATCGAACTTTCAAAGAGGACAAACAATACATCCAAATCAATCACCAAAAGAAGACCGGTCAGAAAACATGTTGACAACGTGTGCCTAGGCACATTCAAGTCGGCACGGCACCCCACCTTTTAAAGAGAAACTCAACAAAAAATGTTAGCCATCACGACGAACCTAACATCGGTAGATGACTACGTTTCCAAACAACACTCTGGTCCAACACAAGCGCGTTAGACTCCCGCCGACACATTAACCTCGACACCAAGACTTTGCTTGCTACCGAGCTAGGGGAGCTTCTATTCTGGATGACCCATTTAGCTAACCCAATAAGGATAGCGTAATACCAAGGGTCTAGGCCACCTCAGCCCTCTACCAACCTTGTTGAGCCAACACTGCTACCTTTTGCTTTGCTGGCAAACATCCCAACATAAGACACCAGAATGTCTTATGTTGGGGAACTCCTCATTCCCTTTTTCCTCTTCAGGCATCCAAAATAACTTTCCCCTTGCTTTTTTCCGGCACAACAGCTGTTGTCAGCTTCGCAGTAGCTGTAAAGTGTCTTGCCACAGCAAGGCCAAGCTCTTATGGCTCTTCCCTATGACAGTTGACTTGGCTCACTCCCCTACATAAATACCCATCTCTTCTACACCAGGGGACACATTCCCTTTTGGTATGTTTTAAATCTGTTTTTGTGTTGGGGGAAGGTTCAGTTTGTGTTTCATCTCATTTTGCTTTGATTTCTTGAAAAAAGGTTGTGCTTTTCTTGGTTTCTTGCATTTTAAATAAACCATAATTCACCCCCTCTTGTGGTATATTTAATCATTATTTTATTTACACAAGGATATTGTATCAAGTCTTTAGTGATCAAAAGAAAGTTTTTTTAAAACTAGAAATCTTCTTCCATAAACATTAATGACAGATTCATACTTCATTATCCATGTATTGTGCATAGATTCTCAAATCTTATAAAAGTCATTTAAGTTCCAATGGTCTCTTATGGAGAACTAATCACTTACATAGATGATGAATTTGTAAAGAGAATTTGTAAAGAACTAATTCAACCAAAGGTTTAAGTTGTTAAGTGAAGGTCCATCATTGATTTTTATATTATATCTCTCTAACATGCACCATCACACAAAGACTCATTGGTGCTGAAGGGTTCACAATATATCACGCTTGTACATGTGTTAAAGAACTTCATAATATTTAATTATTATTTTTTTAATAGAATGGGGGTGGTGAGAATCAAACTCATGGCCCCGTGGTCACAAAGGATTTGATACCATAATAAAGAATAATTTCACCTAACAACTCAAGGTGTTAGGTGAAGGCTCATCAATGGTTTTATATGATATCTCTCTAACATGTCCACTCACACAGAAATTCATTGGGCTTGAAGTGTGGACAATGCATCAGGCCTATACCTTTAAGATTGTTCATCTATACTCATGTGCTCAAGTTATATCCAATATATTGTTCACTTCTCCCCATTTTGACGCAGATAAAGTTGAACAATCAAATTATTCTCCTTAAACATAGTATAACAAACTCAAGTCTAAGGATGATTCATACTACAAAATAATGAGAGAATGTATCAAATGATACATGTTGTAAGGATTACTTGCGGAGACTCTAGGCAGATCAGTTTAGTGCGAATTGTTCTACTAACAAATTCACACACAACGTTGGCTAAGGTTTTTCCATATCTGCATCAATGAGGTTCGTACCTTAGATCACCATGTAAGTAACGTGATATTATGTTAGTCTAATTGAGTCAACCAATCACTACAACAAAATTGCTCTTTAGTCACGGCAAAAACAGTGGCAAAATATGATAAAAAAACGTGGCTAAATGAGTTATCCACTGTTTCCATAACCGTGGCTAAAGCAGGCGTTGCATTATTTTAACCACGGTATTTTTTGCATTTAAGCACGGTCTGTATGAGTGTGGTAACATTGAGTTAGCCATAGTTTATGTTATATTAGCCACGTTATATTCGTGGCTAAACGATTTGGATACCAATAATGAAAAGTTTTATTTTGCCACAGAGAAAACCGTGACTAATTATAAGGAATTTTTTTAAAAAAGTAAAAAATATTACAAATTTTCTCAATCATATAAAAAAAAATAATAAAAATTGCATTTGATACAAGAATCAAAAACCAAATTAAGAGAGATAATCAAATAAAGTGGAGTACAAAATTTAAGACAATACATTTTTTTTTTCTATTCATATATATGAGTATATTACGTTTTTTACACAATTTCTCAAAATTCATATTTTTTTCCTTTTCATATAAGCTGAAGGAGTTTCCTTTACCAACAAAAGGAGCTAATCAAGTTTTTCACTTACATCATTTAAGAGAAATAATTGTCAAATAAAGCTAAAACTATAAGTTTGTAATTGTCATTAGACATCTATACAAAATATTAACTTCATTGTTCAACTAAACAAAATATTACAACACATTTTTTAAATCTGTCTTCCAAGAATTGTTGTTGTATGCATCCTATCCTTTTAAAAGGGCTTATCACCAAATCATACCTGTATAAAAAAAAATTAAATAAGATATGCTAAAATGTCACATAACTTTTCAATGTCAAGAAATTACTACCAATTATTTTTTAGATAAAATATGAACAAACCTTAAAAGCATTAGGATGAGCATAAACTTTCAGGCCCACCTATTCAAAAGTAAATCATCAAACAATAAATTAGTAAACAATAGAAAATAAATATAAATGTAATTAGTTAAAAGACAAAATGCAAAAAAAAAAACATGTGTAGAAGCCTAATATATGAATGAATTATTGCTAATTCGTTGTAGTCTTGCAACTAGAATAAAATAGACTAGATAAAATCCTAATATTATTAATAAAATATGAATGAACAAATAAAATGCACATGCAAAACAATTAATTTGCTAGAATAAGATAATCCCCTAAAACATTTTACCATTGTATTATAAGTATCACAACATGACAAGGTTAATTAAATGAAAAAATAATAATAAAAAAAGTGTTCTTAATATTAAAGAAAGAGCACAACCAGCCCCAAAACTTCTATTTTCCTTAATATTCCTTATAGTAAACAGGGATAGGAAGACTTGTTAGGTTTTTATGTCAATATATATGATATGGATCAATTTTATGGACCTCAACGATTATTTGCACTATAACTTTAGTAATATTAAAATTAGACATTCGAACTAGGCCTGGGTTAGTTCATTTACACTATAACTTGGTATTGGTTAGTATTAGGCAGTTACTATAAAGGGAAAAAAGTATTAGGCACTTTAAAGTTTTTGAATATGATCTATTTTTTTTTTTTTAGTAAACAGAATATGATCTATTTAATTAAGGGAAAAATGTTTATCCTTTTAAATGACACAACTTATATCCTTTCACTCTCACAAAGAGGTGGGACCCATACCTTTATTTTTTTTTGTCAACTCTCTCCTCTTTTATCTATCTCTTCCTCTCTTAAAATGACACAACTTTACATCCTTTAAAAAGACACACACTTTACCCTTTAATTAATGAAACAAACAGATTAAGTCCCACCCACCCACCTAGTCTTTCTTTTTTCGGTGGAGTACCCAGTTAATTTATATCTTTTCTTTTTAAAAAAAATGGCCTAAGTTTTTAAACCTATTCACATTTGTTCGATTTTAGGTTTTGCCCCACATAGCAAAAATCCAGCCCAAACTATTGGCAAGTACAGTAGTAAACGAGTTTCTAAATCTCCAATAGTTGAAGACAATTTAAAAAAAAAAAAAAAATTATAGAATGTTTTAACAAAAGAAAAAGAAACATAACAATTTCAGAAGTCAACCTGTTAACTTAAAAAATACTAAGACTAAGTCATTTCATTATCCAACATACATTATAACCCACATTAGATAGCATCTTTTTCATTGCATTATTTATTAAATACCAATAAATACAACAGCCACTTCACATATCTGAAATTCAACTGTTCCTCATTCTTATTTGAACTAGTCTATTTCAGAAGCAACCAAGTAAAATTTTTTTTAAGCAGCAAATAAACATAAAGCAGAGAAAAACAAGAAAAGATTATAAAGCATTGCAAATGAACTTGATGTTACTGAACTAAGGTCTGGGACCAAGTCTCTGCTCATAGTGTAGGAACGAGATAAAGGCAAAAGTTAAACATTGCAAATTAATCAAAAGGTAAACAATATCATGCCAACAAAAATAAAGAGTTTGTTTATGTTTTCCAATAAGAGCAGTTAAGTTACTGAAACCTCAAAGGGGTTTGAATTAATTTACTGGAACAAAAAAATGAAAAGAGTTATCCTAGTAACATTAATGAGGATTGTATAACAGAAATAGTAACACAAGTACCATAAAAGGGTAGTTATGACAGCAATAACTAAAAAGAGATAAAAAAGATAATAACCAGCAAGTCACTCTTGATTACCAGCAAGATGTTTTAGGGGAATTCCAGCATCCACGAGTGCAGCGCATGCTGCATTTATTGCACATGGAAGAAGCTACATACTAAGTCAAGAAAAAGATGCAGAAACATATAAATTAAATACTGATCTCTTTAGGTCCGCACCCCTCATGTAATAAACAATAAAAACAAACTAGAGCGTGTATATCTGAACGAGTTGATGGTAATCTATTATGTTCCTTCATAGTCCTAAAAAATTAGAACTGGCACATGAACATGATGACTAAACACCACTGTCCATTACCACACCACCCACTCTAATAGTTAAATATTGAACCAAAAGTCCAAAAAAATAGCATAAATGTGCTAAATGTAGGAGTTGGGGAAAAACATAAATTCCCTCTATTTGTTCCTGGCAATAATAAAGGGACAAAATTTTAAAGGAAAATGGCTAAAAGATATCTACATTGATGTGCATGTTACAAGGAATAAAAAAGGCAATCAATCATTTTTTATTTTTTTTTCGAAATTATCCATCAATTCATCAACTACTAGACTAGTCCAATTTGAGCCGGGTAAAACCACATGAGCTGCAAAGCTCTTCCTATCAAGTTTTAACACAACTGCATTTCCAACGACTTGAACTCGAGACCACTAGTTAAGCTGAAACAACTCCTTACCTATTGATCCACGGGTTTTGTACTAGTCACAGTTTTTTCTTATGATGTCAAAAGAGGAATCAGAATTGAACTAAAATGAGACTAGAAAAACAGCAAAAATCCTTCATGAAGAACTATTACAGCAATTGAGTTTTTTAAGTAGGATACAACACCATCATCGTGGACAACCTGCAGTAGAAACAAAGAGTGTTCAATCCTAAAACATAACAACCCAGGTAAATAAATTTTAAATTTTTTTTTATTGAACTTCAAATCACATATGTCACATAAATATTTATAAACTATTACAGATAAATGAAAATGCAGAAACTGAAGATCATGCTTGGAACAATCTTGGGAACTTAATTCTGATAGGCTCAGTTTTCAAGCTGCTTTTAGGTAATGCTTTGCCTCTATAATCACTATTTTGCCACTTCGAGAAGTTTTAAAAACCATATTATTCTCAAAGCAGCAAAATATCTCCAGCTTATATTATGCATACATTATCTCCAACACTTATTCCTGTGTATACGATATTAGTATAGGCAAAGACATAATTTCTCTAATATTTTTATTACTCTAATATACAGAACCAAATAATGAAAATAGAGTTGCAGCACTTTAGTACCTTCAAAGACCAATGTTGTTGGACAACAACGAAATCCGAAATACTAAATTTGAGTCCAACGAAGAAAACTTCAATTGCTAAATAGCAATTTACCATGTAACTCTAGACATTATAATCAGTTGGTGAAAACATTACCTGTACTCTAGATACCATTGTAAGAGGAAGAAGCACGGTTTGCAATGAAAACATCATTTTCGATAAATAAAAACTAAACTAACAATGACAACAATCACAGATAGCGTAACAGGAATGAAAAGGACATAACATACGAAGAGAGAAAAATTATCAAATAAATCAATAAGGTTAACATAAAAATCACTGCTCGATTAATAGATCTAAGCCTTATAATGATTAAATTCCTAAGAGAGGGAGAGAGATATGATTAGGGAAAGAGAGAGCAAACCTAGCTTAAATTTTGCAAATCAAACTATCAGATTTGAACATGAAATGCATGTCAGATAAAAAAAATGTGTATTAATGTGAGGAATAGGGAAAGAGAGAGCAAACCTTGAATCAAAGAACCTCAACTAAAGCCTTGAATCGGATTGGGAGAAGGGAGATACTGACGGAATGGATTTAAAAAGAACGAGCGAGTGACGAAATCGGATTTGAGTACGAAATAAAGTGAGAAGTTGATTCTCAAATCGGTTGTAGTGAGTGGAAACTTCTAGGGATTTAGCATCTCAGCATTTGGGGATTAAGCATCACACTCTTTACGTTGGGATCTATAAATAAAATCATGTTATTAACTTATGAAATAAAAAAATTATCAAATGTTTATAAATCAATTCTAAAAATTAAAAGGAAATAAGTTTTAAAAAATCTAAATTTAAGAAATAAAATAGATAATAGAATAAATAATAATTACAAACAATCAAATATTTATAATTCAAAAGAATCAAAATTAGCAAAAAGAGGGTCAAAGGCCAGTAAACTAGGTCAGAGGCCAAATAATAATTATAAGTAAGCAAACGGATAAAAATTCCTCTTCAAGTTTTAAAACGAAAGTTGTGGTGGCCTGGTGGGTCTTGTATATCCTGAATATGGTTATGGTCAGAAGAGAAGCTTGAGCGTAGAGATGGATTACAACTACAACACTTTAGCTAATTGCAACGGAATTTAGTCATTACTAAATTACCGTGGAGAAATGTCGTTTTTGTTGTAGTGAATATATTATCTTGGTGACTCTAGACTCTGGAAACAAATTTAGCGAATAATCAAATAACCTATAAAAGTCCTTATTAATCATGATTAATTTCATCATAGATCCTCGAATATAAATCTTGATTATCACAAAGACTTTTATCCATTGAAACACATAATCAAGGAGAGACAATAATATGGAATAGATAAAGTAATGCTCTAATATTGTTCGTGAAAATACCAAAGTACATAATATCATGTGATCAATCAAATTGTCTCTAAGACATTTATATTAATAAATTTTTCTTTCATTATTCAATTTTTTCACATTACGTGATGAATGTTATATATGTAGGGTAATGCTATCACAAACCGGGATTAACCGACAATCACAACTAACCATCGTTTTTATTAGGGTTGGCAAAAACGAGCCAACCCGTCGGGTTAGCTCGCAACCCATCCTAAATGAGTCGGGTTGGGCTGGCTCGATTCAACCCGACCTGATCTAACCCTAACTCAAACGAGCCAGCTCGCGGGTCAAACGGGCCAGCTCGCGGGTTGACTTTTTTTTTTTAAATTAATAATTTGAACGGGTCACTTTCTTTCTCGTTCTTTTTTTTTTCCAACCCTAAATTAGCTAATCTCTGGCTCTGCCCCCTTTGCCCAACCAAACGGCTGAACCCTGCGACTGCCCTTTGCCTGCGACCATCACCATCCTCGGACAACCGAACGGAAGAACCGTGCGACCATCACCATCACCAGTTCACGGTAAGGTCGTGTCACTTTGTTTTCTAAATTATTTTCGAAACTATCTGGATGCTTTCCGACTTCCGTTATTTTCAAGTTGGAGGTATTGGATCATAAAGCTCGTGAAAGAGCTGGACTTATAACACCTACTCTTGGTTCACCAATTCCTGTGCAATTGTGGCTTGATATTGCTATTGAGGTAAAAAATTATGGTGTCTTTACATGTTCAAAATCCATCTTTCAAATCCATTTTTTTCCTATGTTGCAAACAACCTTTTTTAATCCGTTATTTATTTCTTATTTATTTTTCTTTTCCCTCAATTTTTTCTTGCTGTTTGTTTGGGTTTATTGACCGCAATTTGTTTGGAATACAGGGGATATTGATGGTGATGTATGTTGGTAGGTCTAGCTGCTAGAATTAATTAAGTTTAATTAATGGTTAATTATTTTGTAATTGGTTTACTAAGAACAGGCACTTTTCCTCTGGCTTTTGAATGATTGGTCATTAGTGTATTTCATATTAATGGTTCTAGCTGTAGTATGCTAAAAAAATTACTTGCAATTTGTCCGGAGATGATGGCATGAACATAGTTTAATCAAACCTTTTTAAAAGTTCTTTTTCAATTGTGCATATGGAGAACCTCAATTTAATTGCAGTGCTACCTAGTGCTGGTTGATGGAGAACCTCAATCTTAGCTTACTTGTTGAGACTCTTTTCTTCTTACTTGATCCTTCTTTGCAGAGGCGCACCAATGCCTCATTTTTTAAGTGTCATGAAAAGATTCAAAGTAAAAAGAAGGAACTGGATCTTTAAAGCCCTAACTCCTCCCAAAAGAATTCACAATTTGGAAGGACTTTCAACTTAACTAATATCTATGTTGGTTTAATGATACGAGATCTTCACCTAAAGTATATGCAAAAAGTATAGGGCCCTAGTAATTAATGTTGAGTCAACCGGTAGTCTGTTAGAGGGGGAAGATTCTGGTATAGGTGCTCAACAGAATAATAAGAGCTTAGAGCTTGTGGATTGAGGAGAAGCGAGAAAAAGGTGAATAAGACAAAACAGACAAAACATTGTATTTGCTATTATACATCCTTTATGTCTTTATAATCAATATCATCATTGATACATTGTATTGTCTACTTTTATATCAATACAAGTTTCATCTGTTTTGTCCATTTAAGAGTTGTATTGGTTGAACCATATGAGGTGCAATTTTGGGTTAGAGAAGGTGGAGTACCTTGGACTTATTGTTTCGGCAAGGGAAATTAGACCAAACAGTTGGTAGATTTATTGCTTACATTGGCCAATAGTTCTCACTAAGGGAAATTAGACAATCAGTTTATAAGAAATAGTTAATGCCTTTAGTTTTTGTAGTTTGGAAATGGTGTCATTCACCTTATGATTGCAAAATGAAATAGATTTTTGTTTTTCCCTTGAATCATATTCTCATAATCTCATCGTTGTTATAGACCCAATATTTCTTATATACATGATCAACTAATCATGATGGACAGAATTAACATGTGCTAAGTGTGAATTTGTAGTTGTGTGACATAGGGAAAGCTTGGATCAAATTTGTAACGTGCAGACTTCAAGTCTCTGAAAATTTGGAATGGCTGATTCGAATAGGTAAATATTTTCCTATTTTTAAAAAGCTGTTTTGTTTCTCTAATTTTTATTTTAAATTATCTTTTCCATTTTCGCTATAGTAATTTTATATTAAACTTTGATATAGGGAAAGCTTGGCAATGATTGAAGAGGGCAATGATGCTGATGCAGAAAGCGATGAATTGGAAGTCGAAGAATGACCTGCTTTTAAAAGGCCTAGGAACATTTCACAATAATAGGAGAAAAAGGGCATGAAAAGGCAAGATGCAATGGTTGCAAGATAGAGTACAAGATGGACAGTAAGACTTGCGGTACGTCTACTTTAAACCGTCACATAGACAAATGCACACAAATCAAACATGAAGAAATTGGCCAAGTCATTTTAGACATGCAAGGTAAAATGAAGGCTATAAAAATAGATATGAAGGTAGCACGTGAGATGTATGCTGAAGCTGTTATTGAACATGACCAGCCTTTTAACTTTGCTGAGTATAGGAAGTTTAGGCGTTTTCATAATTACTTGAATTCAGATTGGACTAGCATTTCTAGAAATACTCTTAAACAAGATGTTTTAAATGTGCACATGAGAGACAAGATGAAGCTGAAAAAGATGTTTGGTAGCATTGAAAGTAGGATATGCTTAACTTCAGATTTGTGGACATCTTGTAATACTGAGGGTTATGTTTGCTTAACTGCCCATTTCATTGATGTAAATTGGAAGCTGAATAGTAAAATTATTGTCTTCCGTCATATGCCTCCTCCTCATACTGGATTTGAATTGACTCATAAAATACTTGGTTTGTTAAAGGAATGGGGCATAGAGAAGAAGATTCTTACCATTACTTTGGATAATGCATCTGCAAATGACTCTATGGTTGGTGGTTTGATAAGCCAATTGAATATGCAAAAATTGTTGTTATGTGATGGAAAAATTTTCAAGTGCACACATATTGAATTTGATTGTTCAAAATGGAGTAAAAGTTGCAAATGATGTCTTGTCTCGGATTAGAGAGAGTGTTAAATATATAAAAGGCTCGGAATCAAGAATGATCAAATTTAAGGAGTGCATTGAACAAGTTGGTGGTGAGAAAATTGTAACTGCATTGATAGCAGATGTACCCACTAGATGGAATTCCACTTATGAAATGCTTAATCGTGCTCTCAAATTCAGGCGTGAGTTGGCAATTCTCCAATTGAGTGATAGAAATTACAAGTATTATCCTTCAGAAGAAGAGTGGAATAGGTTGGAAATTCTTTGTCGGTTCTTGCAACCATTTTGTGATATCACTAATTTGATGTCTGACACTTCTTATCCTACTTCTAAGTTGTATTTTCTACAAGTTTGGAAAATTCAGCGTGTTTTCATTCGTATGAGTAATGATGAAGATGTGGTTGTAAGTAGCATGGCTAATAAGATGATGGATAAGTTTCAAAAATATTGGGAAGAGTATAGTGATGTGCTTTCACTAGGAGCTGTTCTTGATCCTCGGATTAAGTTTACTACATTATATTTTTGTCATAAAAAGATTGATGCTTACACACATGATGACAAGATGGAAAATATAAAGGCAAGCGTGTATAAGCTCTTTGAGAATTATGTAAACATTAATTCATCAACTACCATTGATCAAAGTCAAGATAACACTCACTCTTCAAGTCAAGGGTCAATGGAAACGAGAGGATGGAATGATGAGATCTTTGATGTAAGTTCATGTTTAGCAAAAAGCTTCAATTATGTTATATCATATTCATTTTCACGCCTTTATTTATATGCACGTACTTACTTACTTCAATTATTATGTTTTTGCACTTCTCAAATATGATAGAAATTGTTCTTGCACAATCAACACCTTGCAATAAATGCTGGAAAATATGAACTTGATATTTATTTAGAGGAGCCTATATTGGTTATTGACAACTGGAATAGTTTTGATGCATTGCAATGGTGGAAGGATAATAGTTGTCGTTTTCCGAATCTATCATTAATGGCTCGTGACTTGTGAAGCATTCCTATTACCACTGTGGCATCTGAATCTGCTTTTAGCATTGGATCACGTGTGCTTAACAAATATAGAAATAAGTTTTTGTCAAAGAATGTTGAAGCTTTGGTATGTACCCGCAATTGGTTGGCTGATTTTGATACCAATGGTAATTTATTTATTTTCAATGCAATTAAAATTTTATTTTCATTTGTCATTGTAACCTTAATTGATTATTTACATTTTATGGTTTGTGTTTTGTAGATGATGATGATGAAGATGGTATTTCCCATATATTAGCATCTTCACGGGGATCTAATGGTCATGAAACTTTGTAGATGATCCAATGATGATGGTGTACTTTTGGATGTTTAGATTTTGATATTGTTCTGTATTGGCCATGGGAACTCGTAGGACAATTTTTATTTTGTAATGTGTTTGTCTACTGCTATGTTGGGATTTCTTAATTTATTGGTTATGTTTTATTAGTTACTGTCTTTACACCATTATCCATTAGACAATCAATAGTTTTGGCAGTGTTGATAATTTTATGCAATGTTGGAGAACAAATAAGACTAGTTCCACAAAAATCAATTTTTTTGAGCCAACTCGCGAGCCAACCCACTGGCATCATTTCGAGCCAACCCGTGAGCTTTTTTCTGAGCCAACCGCGAGCTTTTTTCCGAGCCAACCCTAACCCGGCTCGGGTTGGGCTGGGTTGAGTTTTCTGGCTCGTTTATTTTTTCGAGTCAACCCTAACTCGACCCGATTTTTACGGGTTGAATGTGGGTTGGGCCGAGTCGAGCCGGGTTGGCCCGTTTTGCCAACCTTAGTTTTTATATTTTAAATAAGTAAAACATTATTACAACTAATTGCAATTATTCCAGGCAGGCTGCGGTCACTTAATTATTTAAATGAACTAATGACGCAAAAGTATTGCGTGTATTTCGTATTGCGTAAAAGTGATGCTAATTAACTTTTTCACCGACCCTTTAAACTAATATATATCCGACGTCAGATGCTAAATTGGTTCTATGAACCGATGACACAAAAGAAGAGTTAAAAAACATAAAACAAAACTCAAAAATGGAGAGGGTGGGGGGGAGGGTAACCGTGAAACAAACTCTATCATAGTTTTCAATCCAAAAAAAAAGGAAGCAGCAGCTCTATCATAGTTGTAGTGTCATATAGCCGTACATGTCGAACAGGTTTTGGGATGAATGCCGTCGATATCATAAATATAATTGTGTTTTAAAAAAACAATCTTACCAAATAAGATTACCAAATAAAAAAACAATCTTACCAAATAAGAAGAGATTTCTTTTCTTTTTAAAGCCAGATGACAAGAAAAAATAAAAGCCTTTTTTTATTAGGTGTAGGGATATAAAGTTGACGCGTCTTAAAAATCGTCAACATAAGTTAGATAAGCATGTTATTGTTATCAATTGTTAGGCACTATTTTAAGATTGTTATGATTGCGATAAACCAAACAACGATCTTAAAAAATTCTACAATATCTTCTATGAATTAGATAAGTTATACCTAATAATTTATTGCAAATTAATTATTTATCCTTTTCTTCATTACGAACAGGTCATGGAGGAATTTCCCAAAGGAGCTTGAGGGAATACTACGGCACCATCTTTTCTTATTCAAGCCATGGCTGGATGAGCTGGTGGCAGAATTACTAAATTGAATCTAATTTTATACTTAAAATTAGATCTAGATTATATTTACAATTTTTTTTTTTACAATCTCTTACAATCATATCTTAACACCGTTAATTTCCGTCAATCAACGGTTATGATTTTCGCAAATTAAATTCATTAATTAATTAATAATTCACAATAAATGATAATTGTTGATTGGCGGAAATCAACAGTGTTAAGATATGGTTGTAAGAGGTTGTAAAAAAAAATTATAAATATAACTTTCCTCTTAAAATTATGGCAAAAGTATTTTTACAGTTGTGGTAGAAATATTTTGTCTGCCTCGGACACAAAATTATTAGGATATGACGTTGGATTCTGATAAAAAATTAAAAAAATAAAAATTAATGGGTCTCCTTTTTTGTCTTTGAGGTAAATACTACTTTGCCGCTGCAAAAAAGTAATGTCCTAAAATAATTATAATTTTTATTAAAAGATTCGGTATATAAGTTGTAGAAAATGAATAGTTTATATAAATGAATAGTTTACCTCATTAGCTATTAAATAATATAAGAGTTTTTAAAGTGTTTGATTTGATATATATATATATATATATATATATATATATATATATATATATAGTTTAATTAGATTATTAAATTATAAATTGATGTAATGCATTCAAATTAAATTATATAAGTGTGTAAATCTATCTTGAGCATCGGAGTGTCTTACAGGTACACCCTCAATCTTGTGTCGTTGAAGACCTATGGGTTAAAACTAATCCAACTCAAAGTTGTACCAAATTATTTGGGGACTATTCGCGTAGAGGAAGATCACATGGTTAGCCTAGATATAAATGGTTTTGATCATAGGCACCTCTGTGAGAAAAACTGGTATGTCGGTACCTGAACCCTCATACCAGTGCTTGAGGGTAACACCTAAAAGGCTAAAAACTCAAGTTGAAGGAAATCTGGTGTGCAAGCACCTAAACCATAAAATCAGTACTTCAGGGTAACGTCTAAAAGGCTAAAAACTTGAGTTGAAGACTTCAGGGTAAAACCTGATAACGATTAAAACCCTAAGTTCAAATGAAGTGACATTACACTCTGAAAGCAAAAGCGACATCAAATCCCGAATGGCAAGATCCCAAAAGACTTCCAGACATCTTGCCTAAAAGCGACATCAAAACTCACACGAGCGGCATCAAAACAAAGAGCATGCAAAATATCAAGGTATGCAAATATATGAATTATAAAAGGTATATGTATAGTGCATAATACAAATATTGTTGAAAAATCTCTGAAGCACCAGCAAAGTACAGACCATAGTGCAAAATAAAGGCACAGCGAAATGAATCTTTTGGTTTGATAAGCAGACAAATCATCCCGCGAACTTATACATCTCGCTACTCATGCCTTCACCATAAGCAATGAGCTGAGGGGACTTCTAATTTGGATTAATAATATAAATACAAGGCCCATATTAAAATGAGGCCCACATTCAAAGCCTTCATCACTAAGAAAAACCCCAAGTCAACAAAGCTGCATCTTAAATGCTACATCTTAGCAAGCTACTTTCAACAAACTTCACAGCCATGTATATCTAGATAACCTTATCACAGCAACCCACAGTAACCAATTGAAGAGACTTCCGCCTCACAACTTGCAACTAACTTGGAGACCATCTCTCCACAAAGCTAGTCATTTCTCCACCAAGCTGGACATCTCTCTATCATAAATGCATATGTGTTAACCCAAAGGTACACATCTTCTTCTACATGAATAAACTTGCTTGAATAAAATATGACTTGAGCGTCGAAGTGTCTTACAGGTACACCCCCAACCTTGTTCCATTGAAGACCCATGACTAAAGCTGCACCAAATCATTTAGGGACTATTCGTGTAAAGGAGGATCATATGGTCAGCACAGATGTAAATGGTTCTGAGTATTTGCGTTGCCTGTGGGGGAAACTGATATGTAGGTACCTGAACCCTCATAACAGTCAGCACAGATGTAAATGGTTCTGATTATTTGCGTTGCCTGTGGGGGAAACTGATATGTAGGTACCTGAACCCTCATAACAGTGCTTGAGGGTAACGCCTAAAAGGCTAAAAACTCAAGTTGAAGGAAATCTGGCATGTAGGCACCTGAACCCTCATACCAGTGCTTGAGGGTAATGCCTAAAAGGCTAAAACCTCATGTTGAAGGCTTCAGGGTAAAACCTTATAACAGTTAAAACCCTAAGCTCAAATGAAACAACATCACACTCTGAAAGCAAAAGCGACATCAAATCTCGAATGGCAAGATCCCAAAAGACTTCCAGCCATCTTGCCCAAAAGTGACATCAAAACTCCCACAAGCGGCATCAAAACCAAGAGCATGCAAAATATCAAGGTATGCAAATATATAAATTATGAAATGTATATTTAAGGTGCAAGATACAAATTTTGTTGAGAAAACTCTGAAGCACCAACAAAGTACCAGCCATAGTGAAAAATGAAAACACAGCGAAATGAATCGTCTAGTTTGATAAGCAGACAATTCATCCCGCGAACTTATACATCTCGCAACTCATGTCTTCAGCATAAGCAATGAGTTGGGGGCTTCTGATCTGGATTAATAATATAAATACAAGGCCCATATTAAAATGAGGACCACATTCAAAACCCTCATCACTAAGAAAGACCCAAAGTCAACAAAGGCTGCATCTTAGAAAGCTACTTTCGACAAACTTCGCCGCCAAGTATCTCTACACAACCTTATCACAGCCACCAACAATAACCAATTGGAGAGACTTGTCGCCTCACCACTTGCCACTAACTTGGAGAGAATCTCTCCACAAAGCTGGTCATCTCTCCACCAAGCTTAACATCTCTCTATTATAAATACACAGATGTTAACCCAAAGGTATACCTCTTCTTCTAGATGAATAAACTTGCTTGAACCAAATCTGACTTGGGCGTCGGAGTGTGCTGCAGGAACACCCTCACCTTGTTCTATTAAAGACTCATAGATTAAAGTTGCGCCAACTCAAATCTACACCAAATCATTTGGGACTATTTGTGTAGATGAAAATCACATGGTCAACCCAGATGTAAATGGTTTTGATCATTGGCATCATCTGTGGGGAGAGGTAAACTTTAATTCTTATCCCCAAAAAGGTACATGCAATCTTCCTTGAGTTTTTTATTCTTCGATGACCAGTAGTTGCTAAATTTTATTCATCTCGCAAAGAGGTTATTCATCTTGCAATTATACTGTTTATCTCGATTGGATATTCTCATCCATATTAAAACTTTTTATTCATCTCACAATTGTGGATTGCTAAAATCGAATTCGTCCCGCATGATATAAGCCATGGTAATGATTTTTTTTGAACCAAGATTCTACATACTATATATTATTGATCATGTGACTTAGGAGATCTAGACTAATGAGGAATGGTGTCGGTAAATTTTGAGATGTTTCAATGATGTAGCAAGCCATGCCAAGATTGAACATGCGACATGCATAAAGTTCATAATATGCATTCTGCGAGATCTTTTCTACTTCCGAGACTCTATATTTTATTGTATAAGTTGAATAAGAATCATGAGCTTTTTCATATCGGTGAAATCTGAACTATGAATTTTTTTCATGTCGGTGAAGTCTATTTGGACATTTTAATAGGCAAAAATGATTCATAAATCATCAACACTTTCCATATGCTCACTAAATTCCATGAAAATGTTGCATGGATAAGTTTTAAACAGCAATAAACTATTAGCAAGTTGCCAGGAGGCTAAACCATAGCCGCAAGCGTTGATGATTTATTCATAAAGCTACCTTTGGTTTATTCATATTGTCACGTGTTCACAAAAT